GTTTGGCAACCCACAAAAATAATTATCATATGTAGTGTGTGTGTGTGTGTATACAGACATATATATACATACACATTTATAAATATATATATATAGTATACATGTTGGGGCACCTGGGTGGCTTAGTAGGTTACAGAACTGACTCTTGATTTCAGCTCAGGACCCCAAACAATTTTCGGCTCTTATGAGATCAAGTCCCATGTCAGGCTCCATGCTCAGCATGGATTCTGCTTAAGACTCTCTCTCCCTCTGCCCCTCCCTCCCGCTCTCTCTCTCCTAAAACAAATAAATAAATCTTTAAAAAAGAAACAAATATATGGGATGGCTGGGTGGCTCAGATGGTTAAGTGTCTGCCTTCGGCTCACGTCATGATCCCAGGGTCCTGGGATCGAGCCCCGCATCGGGCTCCCTGCTCTGCGGCGAGCCTGCTTCTCCCTCTGCCTCTGCCTCTCTCCCTCTCTCTGTCTGTCTCTCATGAATAAATAAATAAAATCTTTAAAAAGAGGGGCGCCTGGGTGGCTCAGATGGTTAAGCGTCTGCCTTCAGCTCAGGTCATGATCCCAGGGTCCTGCATCGGGCTTCGTGCTCAGTGGGGAGCCTGCTTCTCCCTCTCTTTCTACTGCTCGCCCTGCTTTTGCTCTCTCACTCTCTGGCAAATGAATAAGTAAAATCTTTTTTTTTTTTTTAAGATTTTATTTATTTATTTGACAGAGAAAAACACAGCGAGAGAGGGAACACAAGCAGGGGGAGTGTGAGAGGGAGAAGCAGTCTTCCGCTGAGCAAGGAGCCCGATACGGGACTCGATCCCAGGACCCTGGGATCATGACCTGAGCCGAAGGCAGACACTTAACAACGGAGCCACCCAGGTGCCCCTGAATAAGTAAAATCTTAAAAAATAATAATAAAAAATAGATTAAAAAATTTTTAAAAACATACGTATACGTGTATGTAAGGTTTTTTGTGTTGTTGCTATGTGGATTGCCTAGAATTTTGCCCTAGAGGATACAATTCATATAGAATATTTGAATGATTTCCCCTGAAGTTGTGTGATGTGAGAATTATGCAATATGGTGGTACTGTTGCTGAAGTATAAAAAAATGTAATTTTTATATCCAACAATCAAGATAAATGCTCTTATTCTGATATTTATCTATAGATTCTTTTGAGTTTTCCATGTAAATAATCATTATTCATGAAGGAAAGTATTATTCTTTCTAATCTTTATACTTCTTATATCTTTTTCTTATTTTCCTGCATTGTATGTACAACGTTGGTACAGTGTTGAATGGAATTAGTGACAGTAGGCACCTCTGTTGTGCTCCTGATTTTAAAGAGAATGTTTTCAATGTTTCAGTATAATGTTTACTGTATGCGATTTTTAAATAGCTTTTAATAGTTAAGGATGTTTTCTTCTATTTCTATTTTGAGAATTTTTTTTTAGAGAGGGAGGGAGGAGAGGGAGAGGGAGAGAGAGAATCTTAAGCAGGCTCCACGCCCACTGCAGAGTCCAATGGGGAGCTCTGTCTCAGGACCGAGATCATAACCTGAGCCAAAATCAAGAGTTGGATACTTAACCCACTAAGCCACCCAGGCACCCCAAGAATTTATTTTTTCTTTTTAAGGCTGGATGTTGAATTTGTTATCAAATGCTTTTTGGCCTCTTCACATGATCATATGATTTTCTCCTTTATGTGGCAAGTTATATTAATTTTTTTTAATGCTAAACTAGGTGTGGTTCCTAGGTAGACTCACCTTGGTTGTGCTGGACTTAGTTTATAGTGTTTTGTTTAAGACTTTTATGTCTGTGTACAGAAGTGATATTGACATAATATTTCCTTCTTGTACTTTCAGATTTTGGATCAAGTTTATGCTAAGTCATAATATGAGTTGGAGGTATCCCTTCATTTTTTAATTCTTTTAAATAGCTTATATAAAGTAGAATCATTTTTTTCTTTGAATTTTTAGCAGAACTCTCCTTTTAAAATCACCTTGGTCTGGAATTTTTTGAAGGAAAAAATTTCAACTACTGATTTCATTTCTTTATTGGTTAAAGGACTATTTTGATTTTTTCTTTCTTCTTAAGTCAACTTAAAAAATATCTTTTCATTATGGAAAATTTCAAACATGAAAAATAGAGCAAACTGTATAATGATCCCCCACATACCCATCACCCAGTTTCTTGAGTCAGTTTGGCTAAGCTTTATTTTTCCAGGGATTAATCTATTTCATCCAAGACCCCAAGTTTTTTTTGACATAGAATTGTTCGTAACATCTTCTCATCTTTTTTATCTTAAAAACATCTGTAATTTTGTCCCTTTTTCATTCTTAATATTGGTTATTTGTGCCTTTGTTGTCTTAATTTTCTTATCATGTTTGCTAGTTTTAATAATCTTTTATTTTTTAAATTTTTTTAGATTTCATTTATTTTTTGACAGAAAGAGACACAGCGAGAGAAGGAACACAAGCAGGGGGAGTGTGAGGGGGAGAAGCAGGCTTCCCGCTGAGCAGGGAGCTCTATTCTAGGACCCTGGGATCATGCCCTGAGCCAAAAGCAGATGACTGAGCCATCCAGGTGCTCCTAATTTTAATAATCTTTTAAAAGAACAAACCTGGGGGTGCCTGGGTGGTTCAGTCGTTAAGCATCTGCCTTCAGCTCAGGTCATGATCCCGGGGTCCTGGGATTGAGCCCTGCATTGGGCTCCCTACTCAGCGGGAAGCCTGCTTCTCCCTCTCCCACTCCCCTGCTTGTTTTCCCTCTCACTGTGTCTCTCTCTGTCAAATAAATAAATAAAATCTTTAAAATAAATAAATAAAAATAAAAGAACAAACCTGTGACATTGTTGCACTTCTGTGTTTGTTCTGTTTCATTCATTTCTGCTCTTATTATTATTTCCTCTGTTCTGCTTTCTTTGGGCATATTCTGTCCTTTTTCTGTTATCTAAAGGTGTGTGCTTAGCACAATAATTTTCTTCCATTTCCCTTTTCTAATTAAATGTCTAAGTGTAATTTTTTTCTACACAGTTATTTTGCTGCATGTCACATTTTAATACCTAGTATTTTTGTTATTGTTCAGTTCTAAAATTTTTCTAATTTCTATGATTTCTTCTTTGACCTATATCTTATTTGGTCATACTTCTTAATTTGCAATATGGAGTTTGTCCTAGTTACTTTTTTGTATTGCTTCCTAACTTAATAGTATTTTGGTCTGAGTGATAATCTTTTGACATTGACTAAGATGTACTTTGACTCCTGGTCTGTGGTAAATTTTGTGAATATTTCGTGTAATTGTGAATAGCTATTCTATCTAAGTCCTTTAGATGAAGCTTGTTAAATGTGTTCAAATCTTCTGTATCCATAATAATTTTTTTGTTTGCATGATCTATCAGTCAAGAAAGACATATAAAAATCTCTCATAATGACTGTGAATATTCCTTTTTCTCCTTGTACCTGTATCTATTTTTGCTTTATGAAGATTATGTTATTAGTCATTCAGTTTTAAAGATTTTTTATTTATTTATTTGACAGAGAGAGCAAGCACAAGCAGGGGGAGCGACAGGCAGAGGGAGAGGGAGAAGCAGGTTTCCTGCTGAACAGAGAGCCCTACACAATGCTCATTCCCAGGACCCTGGGATCATGACCTGAGCCAAAGGCAGATGCTTAACTGACTGGGCCACTCAGGCGCCCCTAGGCATACAGTTTTGAAATTATTAAATCTCAATGAAATAAGTCTTATTGTACAGTGGCCTCTTTATCTCTAGTAATGCTGTTTTCATTGAAATCTATTTTGTCTGATATTAATATAGCTATACTGGCTTTCTTTTGGTTGTTTTTTCTTGTTACATCTCCTCCCATGTTTTTACATTTATATATCAATTCTAGTTTTTATTAGGTTGGTTAATCAGAGTATCTAGCTAGCCCTTCTGATCAGAAATGGAACTTTTTTTTTTCTTGAATACTGGAATCAATTTGCTAATACTTTAAAGAGGATATTTACATTCATGTTCATCAGTGAGACTGATCAATAATTAGGATGATATTATTTGTCATCCACACTGAGGAAGTTTTGAGAGTGAAAGGGAGTACAATATTTTTCCAGGCTTATGGCATAGAGATTGATTATAGTACCATTGGCTGGCATCATCAGGATTTATGAACTGCCTAATCATTTTGGCAAGGAATGGAAGTAAAGATAGGTTTTCCAGTAATTAATCTAGTTAGGGCTCAGACGTACCCTGTTGGTTTTATAACTGTTATTGTATTACTCTATATATCTGACTATAAGCTGATTATATATTGAATGAAGTTGTACAGAGAAAGAAGGAAACAGACCTGGATTTGAATGTCTGTCTCTGTGACTTAATTGTATAATCCTTAGGTAATGACCTAACTCCTCTGAACTCCATTTTCCCCATCTGTATAATAGAGATTATAATGCCTACCTGGTAAGGATATTGTGAAAATTAAGGATAAGTGAAAGCACTCAATATGTTCTTAGTACATAGTAGATTCTCTTATGTTAGCTTATCCCCTTCTTTAGTTTCTGTTGTAAATTATCCTGTGTATTTGCTTTTTGAAACAAAGGTTGCTTTTTCCCTTGTGACTTAAAGTTGAAATCTTCCCTACTACTCCCCTGTTTACTTTGGATCAGAAAAAATTTCCCACTATGCCCTCAGTTATATGCATGTGGCATTTGGATAATTTAAGAAGGTATAGAAATTGACAGTATTGACAGTAGCAAAATTTTGACCAAAGGAAATCAATTAATGCTTATGTTATATTATATTATTAATATATTATTATATTATCAGTATATATATTAATTATATATATTAATATATATAATATATATATTAATATATATTAATAATAATATATATTAATTATCAGTGAAGCAAAAAGGTAAAATATGATTATCCTTAAAACTTCTTAGATATCTTCTATCTTCTTAGGTAAAGCAGACTCCCTACTTGACCTCTTATATTCTCGCAATCCTTTAACAGGACTTCATTGACTTAACTAGAGAAACCAGACCAAGGGCAAAGGACCGCAATGGACTCTGTGTGATTGACCTGACAAGAACTGAGGAAGAAAATAGACCTATTGCCACTCTGGACTTGACTCTAGAACCTGTCGCTCCTTCCCAGAAAGAGCCAACCAGTCTTCAGACTTGTGCCAGCCTCTGCAGCAAAGAGGTGACAGAAGGGCGGGGAAGCTCTTGGCCTGCAGCACGGAGAATCATTAACAGCGATCCTGTGGATTTGGACCTTTTGGAAGAAGCCACATTTGAAGGTCCGCAACCCCCTACATCCATCAGCGGGGACTCTGCTTATCCAGCAGAGCCAAATTGTAGCTCAACTGCATTCAAAGGTGACCTTGGCTTCTTGGCAAGCCTACAGCTATCTTCAGATATTCGCTCCCTCTCCCCAACAAGCAATAATGGTAGCAGCAGCAATCAGAGGGCACCCTTGCCATGCCCACAGCAAGATGTGCCTTGCCCATCACAAGCTTTGCCATGCCCACTGCGAACCATGCCGTGTCCACTGCGAGCCTCACCATGTCCACCACGAGCCTCCTCGTGCCCACCACGAGCCTTGTCATGCCCATCACAAACCGTGCAGTGCCAAGTACAAGCTTTGCCTCCCTTGCCTCAAGAAGTTCCATGCCCTCCTCGAGAAATGCCATGCCCTCAGCGGAATGTGCCAAGCCCACCTCCAGACTCATCGTGGCAACCTCAGCACTCACCCAACCCACCTCAAGACTCACTGTGCCCACCTCAAGACTCTCTGGGCCTACCTCAAGATGTACCAGGCCCACCTCAAAACATATCATATCCACAAGATGTGACACACTTACAAGATATGCCTCAATCATCAGGAGATGTGCCACAGTCACCACGACACGTGCCACAATCACCAGCAGACATGCCACAGTCACCAGCAAACGTGCCACAGTCACCAGCAGACGTGCCACAGTCACCAAGAGATGCACCACAGTCACCAGAAAGTGTGCCACATTCCCCTGGAGAAGTCCCAGACTTCCCAGGAGATATGTTCCGTTCACCTAGAAACAGGCCATGCTTGCCAGGAGACATGCCACACTCACTTGGAGACTTGCCTCACTTACCACGAGACAGGCCTTACTCTCTCCAAAATGATGTACATAACCGTGACACGCCTATGGAAGTCTCAGCTCCATCCTCTCCAAGGTTCTCTCCCAGCCCACAGTTTCCACAGTCTGAAACTTCCTTAGAGAAAGTTCCTTGGTTCTCTGTCACAGAAACTCCAGCCAGAAAAGAGAGATCACTGTCAGAGCCTGCTAACCCCGGGTCTGCCCAGGTACAAGCACGAACACCACAAGGTGGGTTATACAACAGACCATGCCTGCATAGACTGAAGTACTTCTTACGACCTCCGGTGCATCACCTCTTCTTCCAGACACTAATACCAGATAAAGACACAAGAGAGGTGAGCTAACATATCTTCCCCTAGAGATTAGGTGTCCTCTGTATAGGCCTCGCATGAAGTCACTATGCTGTAAGGAGTCCATGCATGAGAGAACAGGTCCAGGATGAATTCGATATTTTTATCTTTCCTCCTCTTGTGGAATCATCTAGTGTAGAGTCAGACCTGGGTTCAAATTTCACCCCCACAGTTAGCAACTGGCACTGTAGAAGTCACTATACCTTTCTGAGCCCTAGCTTTCCTAGATGTAAAATGGAGATAAGAACACACCACACAGGATCATTAAATGACATAACATATGTAAAGTGCCTATTAGAGTGTCTGGCTCATTATAGGCCTTCATCAAATACTTCTCTTCAATTCCTATGCCTTTCCCTTCCTGATGCCCTTATTACCCCTTCCATATCATAGAGACAGTGATACTCTGGACACTTCTGTGCCTCCAAAATTATTACTTTCTGGCTTTTGGGGAGGAAATTCAATTTTAAGATTTTAATGGGACTGCTACTTCCCATTGGTCTTTTTTAGTTATGGGAACTAAACCAGCTGCTTTTCTTAGCAGATGTAAGGAAAAAAAATTGTGGCTGAGTCCTACAATATGAAGCTATTTTTTCATTATCCATAACCATATTCTCAACATTAAGAAGACTGGCTTGAGGTAGGCCAGGAATTCAAAAGGTGCATTTTTGGAGCAATCAGCAATCCAGCGTAGTATGTATCAGGCATTCACATTGATTTGGCCTTGAAGAGTGAATTTTTTTCTCTCATTTTTATTGTTGTTATAGCTTCTGGTATGTTTTATCTCTTCTCCTTCTGAATGACTCTCTCCAACCACTAGCCCGTTCTCTTTTTTCCTATGGGTTTGCCTGGTGATACAGCCATTATGAAGAGCATTTGGGGGACTTGAGAGAGTCTGTGTTTCCCTGGTCAAGACTGTAGTGCTTTGTAGGTGCCGCACAACTAGAGAAGCGCCAGTAGCTGCAAATGCGGGTACCACATTCCCTTCCTGTGTAAACGCAGCTTAGGTTCAAAGACGGCAGTTAGGCCAAACAAAAGGGATTTTTCTTCTTAATTTCTTACTTTAAAGAACCTTGGCCATCCAGAGTTCATCTGTAAATCTTTTCTGTCTCTTCTATGATTTCTTTTGGGCTTTTAATAAGTACTTCTTCACTAGGTCATTTTCCTCCCAGAACTTCTTAGCCAGTCCCCATGCTGCCACTTACCAGCCATAGGCCTTAAGTCTTCTGAGTCTCTCTTGGTTTAGCTCTAAAATAAGTCATAATGACCATATCATAAAGTTGTTTGACTTAAAAGTAAACACATAAAGCACAGAGCCACCTTTCAAGACCTAAAGAAATGTTTTATTAAGTATTAGTTCCCCTTGGGGCGTCTGGGTGGCTCAGTTGGTTGGGCGACTGCCTTCGGCTCAGGTCATGATCCTGGAGTCCTGGGATCGAGTCCCGCATCGGGCTCCCTGCTCGGCGGGGAGTCTGCTTCTCCCTCTGACCCTCCCCCCTCTCATGCTCTCTCTCTCTCATTCTCTCTCTCAAATAAATAAATAAAATCTTTAAAAAAAAAAAGTATTAGTTCCCCTTAAAAAGATGGGCATCAGAAGAATTTGTAAACTTTACCTATTTGTAGATGTCCCCATTTGTAGGCAAGAAATGAATAATATAGGTTCAAATATAGGTAAAGTGTCTCACAAGTAAAATAGTCACCAAAGCAAGATATTTTGTCCTCATTGCTGGCTCTTAATTTTCATTACATGCCAGGTATAGTATTGGTCTTTGATCAGTAAGATCAGGGGTTACCCTCAGGTGATTTGAGACATAAGGAAAGCTCACTGGACTTCTCCAGAAGATTTTCTGAAAGGACAATTCCAGCCATCACTGTTTTACTGTTATACATAAGCGGTCAAATATTTGGTTGATGTTTTAAATTTAATACTTATTCTCAGATTTTTTTTTTTTTTTTAAATAGAGACAGAGAGAGAGAGACAGTAAGAGAGGGAACACAAGCAGGGGGAGTAGGAAAGGGAGAAGCAGGCTTCCCACGGAGAAGGGAGCCCAATGCGGGGCTTGATCCCAGGACCCTGGGACCATGACCTGAGCCGAAGGCAGACGCTTAACGACTGAACCACCCAGGCTCAGTCTCATCCAGAGAGAGCGAGAGGAGGAAAGAGAGAAAAATAGAAAGACTGGCAGAGAGACACAGTAAAAGAGGGAGACTCAGAGAAAGGCAGTAGGGAGACCATGACCATAGAGGGTACTGTTAAGTGATATTGCACTAGGGATACTGAACAGCACTTTGTACTTCTTCACAACACTGAATTTTTAAATTTATAATTTAATATCTGATGGTTCCCCTCTTGTATAAACACATACCCTGTAAGTTCCATTAGGGAAGATCTCTTGTTTGCCTCTGCAATCCAGCACCTGGTACTGGCAGAGTAAAAGTGCTGCCCCTCGGGGCTTCTGGGTGGCTCAGATGGTTAAGCGTCTGCCTTTGGCTCAGCTCATGATCCCAGGGTCCTGAGATCGAGCCCCGCAGCATTGGGCTCCCAGCTCAGCAGGGAGTCTGCTTCTCCCTCTCCCTCTCTCCCTACTTGTGCGCTCTCTCTCTATTATTGCTCTGTCTTAAACGAATGAATAAAATCTTAAAAAAAAAAAGTGCTGCCCTAAAGTTTCCATGAATTGGTTGAGTGACAATTGAGAGCAGACAAGAGCACAACAGTCTTTGTCCTGAGCACCTCATATTTATGATGTTTTTGCCCTAACTTCTAAAACAGTATATGGGGCGCCTGGGTGGCTCAGTCGTTAAGCATCTGCCTTCGGCTCAGGTCATGATCCCAGGGTCCTGGGATCGAGCCCCGCATCAGGCTCCCTGTTCAGTGCTTCTCTCTCTCCCACTCCCCCTGCTTGTGTTCCCTCTCTCGCTGTTGTCTCTCTCTGTCAAATAAATAAATAAAATCTTTAAAAAAAAAATTACTTATGGTGCTATCAGTCAGCATTTATTATTGTTAATAATTTTGGTGTATTTCCTGCTCGGTTGCCTTTTTATACATAGACATTTTAAATTTTTTAATAATGGGGATTTTTAACAAAAATATATTTATTGTTGGTTTTAGTGTTTAGAAGTAGTGTGAATTTAGAGGGTAGATCTGGGGCTATACCACCCCATGTGTGAAATCACCTTCTGCCATTTGTTACATGCCAAATGCTTACTCTCTAAATCTGTTTCCTTATCTATAAAATAGGAATAATATGTATGTATTTATAGGTTGTTGTGAGAATTAAAGTGAGGATAAGGTAAATGTTCAAAAATTATTCTTGTTGTTATATTACAATATCAAAAACTTCAATGTTTTTTCTTCTGGTTATGAAAGTAATATATATCTATTGTGGAAAAATACAAAAGAGCATATAGAAGAAAATCATACATAATTCCATCCACCACCCAGATAATAGAAAACCACTTTTCACATATTCTCTCCCAGTCTTTTTACATACATACTTTTAGGGGGTGTAGGGGAAGCAACTTAACATTTACGGTTGACAGTAAATCAACTACATGGGATTCTTTTTTTTTTTTTTAAGATTTTATTTATTTATTTGACAGAGAGAGACATAGCGAGAGAGGGAACACAAGCAGGGGGAGTGGGAGAGGGAGAAGCAGGCTTCCCGCTGAGCAGGGAGCCCGATGCGGGGCTCGATTCCAGGACCCTGGGATCACGACCCGATCCGAAGGCAGACGCTTAACGACTGCGCCACCCAGGCGTCCCAACAATAAAACATATTTAAAACATCTTTCTTCATCTCTTTATTTCAGAATCTGATATAGTATCATAACTACCCCTAAACTATCTTCTCACCTTCACTCAAATCAACTTAGGCTAGCTCTTGACTCTTTTGTACTTTCTTTTCTATGCTATATTTTAGCACAGATGCAATCATATGTACAACCTTGAATTCTTATTTTTAACATAATATAAATATTTTCACATGTCCTTAAAAGTTTTTTAGATAAGGCTTTTCAGTCCTTTTATTGTTTAATTATGAATATTTCAAATGCATGGAAAATTTTGCTGTCTTCAACCTGTTTCAGAACCTCTTGTTTTTATGTCTGTAGAAACCTATCCTAATTGCTTTCTTTTTATCTCTACAGAGTAAGGGTCAAAAATTAGAACCCATTCCTCATCGAAGACTAAGAATGGTAACAAACACCATTGAAGAAAATTTTCCCCTGGGGACTGTGCAGTTTTTGATGGACTTTGTGTCACCCCAGCATTACCCACCCAGAGAAATTGTGGCTCACATCATCCAGAAAATCCTGCTCAGTGGCTCTGAGACCGTGGATGTCCTAAAGGAGGCCTATATGCTTCTCATGAAAATTCAACAGTATGAACCTTAGATGTTGGTGAATCTCCTAGGGAACCTGGACTCAGGGCACAGCTTTCTCTTGCCTAAGCTTGCTTCAGCTAACCATTAGAGAGGGTGATTAGTATGTCAGTGTTATTTGGGTTGCAAGTGACAGGAAACCCAATCCAAACTAGCTTTAACAGCTGATAAAAGAGAATTTAATTATTCATGTTACTAGAAACCTAGGAATAAGACTTAATTCAGTTCAAAATGGTTACCAGGATCCATTTTTCAGCCCTGCTCTGCTCCTCTTTTCAGGATCTACATAGTAGTCTTCTCAGCCTCCAGCTTTTATGAGAGAGTCCACTTCCTTTATAATTACACAAGAGTTCTGAAATTGAGTCTTGTAGGCTTTAATTGGTATAACAAAGGACATGAGCTTATTTTTGAACCAATCACTGTGAACTGAAGGATAGAATATCATGATTGGCTAACTGCTTCACAGACTTCATCCTAGGAATGTGGTAGATAAAGCTAATGGGCTAGAGTAATAAAGAATTGATTTCTTCAAGGCAAAATTGGGGTACTAATGCCTTCCAAAAGAGAAGTGAATAGTGAAAGTTCCACTACCCTCAGATGACATGGTATCATGTCAAAGGATGGGCAAGAGCAGTGAGGATAAGAGGTTTCTTGTTTCTGTCATCTTCCATATCACATCCCCTCTTCCATTGAACTCTCCAGAATTCTAATTGATGTCACTTGACTTTCAGGCTACATCCAGCTAATGCCAAGACAGTGGAGTGGGACTGGAAGCTGCTCACTTATGTCATGGAGGAAGAGGTAACATAACAATTATGAGGGTGTATCTTTTACACAAGTTTTAATTAGAAACAAAAGTGAAAGCAAATCTGATAGTAAAGTCTTTGCCCTTATTCCCTCCTTATACTCCCACCCCCACCAAAAAATTCCTATTGAAATGGTGTGTGCTGTCTTCCAATTCAAAATTAAGTGTATTCACTTATCCCTGTCCTTGAGATCCCATTAAAAAGAATAGTAAATGAACAGAGAAAGATATAAATCCATGGCAGTGAAAATAAGAGGAAGGGCAATAGATCTGAATGAAAACTAGAAGAACTAAAGGAAATGTAAGATTGTTACTGGTGAGGCTAGGCAGAGAAAGCCACAGGCTATAATACATGCAGCCAAGGAGCAAGGAAATCTACGCTTTAGAGCAGAGAGTTTTCAACTCAGAAACACAATATATATAAGAGGGTTGGAGCCAGACATAGGCTGTAAATTTGTTGAAAGTTTGTAGATAGAACTGACAACCTCTCCATTCTTGAGTACAGAAAGTTCGGTCATCAGACTACCTAATTTCAGGCAAAAAGTCAGAGGATTTATTGTCTAAAAACATTGAATGAACCATCTGTCATAAACAAAGGCACCTAGTATAGAGTTAGTGTTCCAGAAAAAGTCTTTTGCATTCTGACTTTTAGGGATCCCTAAATTAAATTGCCAACTTTCTGTCTGCTCACCCAAAGCACTTGGATGGAACAAATTATTTTAGAGAATTCTAAACTCAACCAAACTATTATTCAAGTGTGAGTGTAACATAAAGACATACAGGAACTTGAAAAAATATCCCTACACCCCATTTCTTTGGTTACCTAAAGGTATGTGTCAAAAGAATGGGGGATAATAAAGAGGGAGGCACAGGATCCAGGGAACACTAGATCTAATCCAAGAGAATAATAAAGAGAATTCCTAAAATCATGGTGAATAGTAGACCTAGAGAGCATTCAGTCCAAATTGGAGCAAAATAATTTAGGGCTTTAAGAAAGATCTGGGAGGGGTGCCTGGGTGGCTCAGTCATTAAGTGTCTGCCTTTGGCTCAGGTCATGATCCCAGGGTCCTGGGATTGAGCACCACATTGGGCTCCCTGCTCCATGGGAAGCCTGCTTCTCCCTCTCCCACAACCCCGCTTGTGTTCCCTCTCTCACTGTGTCTCTCTCTGTCAAATAAATAAAATCTTAAAAAAAAAAAAAAGAATGATCTGGGAAACATTACCAAGATGAAAGACAAGGAAGCTCCAGGCTATTGTTCTCCCATGGAGATGCCAAGTTAAGAAAAACATATGGACCAGAATACTTTTGTGAAAACTCTGGAGATCAATTATGAAGTTTCAGTACCCAAGAGAATGCATAATCAAGAAAGAACTCAATGAAAGGAATAGGAAATTTTGGGTTATTTTGTGTGTCCATGCCCCTCCCCTACCCAGCATAGCATGGTGCAACTGGGAGGAAACCTCACATGCCTCAGCTCCTCCCTCAGGGTGGAAACAAAAGAGTGGACTTTGAGTCCAGTGCCCCGGCTTATTAGGGAGCTGCCCAAAGGATAGTTTTGGTCTTACCTGACTCAGAGCACTGATGGGAATAGTGATATAATTTGGAAGCTGCTGAAAAGAGAGATGATCACTGCCACATGTTAGAGCTTCAGCGATTTTGTAGTTCCACAGGCAGGCACCAGGGGAGCAAGAAACTGCACTCCTGAGAAGAAACAAAGGCAAGCCATTTGGAAAATTAAGATAGATAAAAGCACAGATACAAGCCCAGAAAAAACACAACCCCTGAAAAGTTCTGAGAGAGTCCAGAACCCTTAACCAGGCTAATTGGTGAAGATCTTACCCTGCATGAACTCAGTGGATAGACTGGGAAGGGTGTTTGTTTTTTCAAATGCTTAAGCCTCAACAAAAGATTACAAGGTGTACGAAGAAACTGGGAAATATGTCCCAGTCAAAGGAATAGAATAAAGCTCCAGAAACCAACCATAAAGAAACACAGATCTCTTAATTTCCTAACAAAGAATGTTTTTAAACTATCTTAAAAATGCTCAAGGAGAGGCACCAGGTGGCTCAGTCAGTTAAGCATCCAACTCTTGATTTTTGCTCAGGTTGTCATGAGATCGAGCCCTGCAACGGGTTCTGTGCTCAGCACAGAGTCGGCTTGGGATTCTGTTTCTCCCTCTGCTCTTGCAACTCCCTCCTGTTGATGTGTGCACACGTGTGCACACACACACTCTCTCTCTAACATAAATAAATAAATCTTTTTTAAAAAATGCACAAGGAGCTAAAAGAGAACAGAGAGAAATGACTAACTGAAGCATGAAAATGATGCATGAACAAAATGAGAATATTAAAAAACTATTAGGAAGAATCAAACATATTCTGGAGCTGAAAAGTATAATAACTGAATTGAAAAATTCACTAGAGGGATTCAACAGCAGACTTGACAGGCAGAAGAAAACAGTCAATGAACTTGAAGAAAGGTCATTTGAAGTCATTGAGACACAGGAACAAAAAGAAAACATAATGAAGAAAATTGAAGAGAGCCTAAAGGACTATGGGACATCATTAAGTGGACCATATATGCAGTATAGGAGTCCAAAGAGAAGAGAGAAAGGGGCAGAGAGCTTATTTGAAAAAATAATGACCCTGAACTTCCCAAATCTGTGGAAAGAAATGGACATACAATTTTATGAAGCTCAACTCCAGTGAGGTTAAACCAGAGACCCACACCAAGACATATTATAATCAAAGTGTCAAAAGTTAAAGACAGAATCTTGAAAACAGCAAGAAAAAAGTGACTCACCATATACATGGTGTGTATAAGATTGCATAAGATTTTTAGCATAAGATTTTTAGCAGATTCTCAGCAGAACTTCGCAAGTCAGAAGGCAATAGATTGATATATTCAAAGTGCTGAAGGAAAAAAAGCTATTAACCAAAAATACTATATCTGGCAAAACCATCCTTCAGAAATGAGGGAGAGCAGCAGGAGAGAAACAACACATCACATACAGGATCTCGGTAAGATAATCAGCAGATTTCTCATCAGGAATTTTGGAGGCCAGAAGGTAGTGAGCTGATATATTCAAAGTGCTAAAGAATAAAACTCAACCAAGATTCCTTTATTCAACAAAATTATTTTTCAAAAATGAGACAGAAATAAAGACATCCCCAGATAAACAAAAGCTGAAGGAGCTCATTTCCACCAGCCCTGCCCAGCAAGAAAACCTAAAGGGAGTCCTGCAGAGTAAAATGAAACACTGAATAGTAACTTGAAGCCATATGAAGAAATAAAGATGTCAGTAAAGGTAAATACATGGGCAATTATAAAAACTGCTATTATTGTAACAACATTTTATAACATTTGATTTTGTACATGGTTAAGTGACTAATTCTAATACTAGTCTAAAAGCTAGGATTATTATAACTTTGAAACTCCACATTTTGCTTTCTACATAATTTAAGATACTAATGCATTTAAAAGAACTATTAATTTGTTTTGTATGAAGATGTGGTTATGTGACATCAACAACCAAAAGGGTGACAGAGCTGTAAAGGAACAGTTTTTATATGTTATTGAAGTTAAGCTTGTATGAGTTCAAATTAGAGTATTATAACTTTAGAATATTAAAGGCAATCACAGTGGTAACCACAAAGACAACAGCTATAGAAATACACAAAAGGAAATGACAAAAGAATTCAAACTTTCACTCTAAAAAGTCAACTAAAGACAAGAAAATGATGCAGGAAATAAAGAACAAAAAAGCTGTAAGGCATTTAGAAAACAGCACAATGACAGAAGTGCATCCTTCCTTATCAGTAATTGCTGTAAATGTAAATGGATTAAACTCTCCAATCAAAAGACACAGATTGGCAGAATAGATAAAAACACATGATCCAACTACATGCTATCTACAAGAAACTCACTTTACATCCAAAGACACAAGTAGATTGAAAGTGAAAAAATGGGAAAAGATCCTCATGAAAATAGTAACCAAAACAGCACAGGTGGCTGTACTAATATGAGACAAAATAAACTTTAAATCAGAAAATGTTACAAGAGACAAAGGAGGACATTATATATTAATTAAAATTTTCAATACAGCTGTAAGATATAACAATCATAAATATTTATGTACCTAATGATAGACCATCAAGATACGAAGGAAAAACTGACAAAATTAAAGGGAAAAATACACAGTTCTATATTAATAATTGGAGACTTCAATAACCCACTCTCAATAATGAATAGAATAGCCAGAATAGAAGATAGGTAAGGAAAGAGAAAAAATTAAACAATGTAATAAACCAACCAGATCTAACAGTTATATGCAGAATATTCTACCCCCAACAGCATGTACCTTCTTCTTAGTGCACATGGTACATATTCCAGGATAAAACCATATGTTAGGCCACTAATTAAGTCCCAGTAGATTTTAAAAGATAGATATCATATAAAGTATCTTTATTCTATGAAACCAACATCACCCTGATATTAAAGCCAGATACAGACACTAGAAGAAAACTGCAGACCAATATCCCTTATGAACACTAATGCAAAATCCCCAGCAAAATACTAGCAAACAAAATTCAACACCATATCATGTGGATTATACATCATAATCAAGTGGGATTTATCTGGGAATATAAGGATGTTTCAATATACAGAAATCAATCAATGAAATACACTACATTAACAGAAGGAAGGACAAAAACCACATGATCATCTCAACTGATGCAAAAAAAATGCATTTGACAAAATTCAACACATTTCATCATAAAAACTCTCAACAAACTAGGAATAGAAAGAAACTATCTTGTAAAAACACTATATGGAAAAACCCACAGCAAACATCATATTCAGTGGTCAAATACTGAAGCTTTTCCTCTTAAGATCAGGAATAAGGTAAGGATACCTACTTTTGTCTCTTCTAGTCAACATAGTATTAGAAGTTTCTACCCAAAGCAGTTAGGCAAGGAAGGGAAATAAAAGACA